AGATGGACTACGGCAAGTCTATCCGGTGGGAACTGGAGCTACAGAGAAAACAGCTGCTGCTGGGAATTCATGAGAGGCAGAGGGAAAGTGGGAAACACCCTGGCTTCTCTCTTCCTCCCACCTTCTAGGTCCCAGCAGTGCTTCCCTTTGGTTGAATGCAGCTGGAGGACAGCTGACCCAGCTCCAGAAACATAGTCTGTAGGTTGCAGCCTCCTCCCTCTCCTGCAGGGGAAGGATGGAAAGCGGATCCTCAGCACAACAGGTCTGAACAAAATTCCAGAAAACCTTGAAGCATGGGAGCATTCCCCAATAAGAGGAGGAAGAAAAGCATTGCAGGCAAAGGAACAACATGAGGAAAGGTTGAGGTGTAGGAAACGCACTTCCCCCAGTCACATCCCCAGGGCATCTAGTTTTGCCAAGCAGTGGGTATTCTTGGCACACATCCCCATCACAGCTATATGCACTCATGCACACATGCACACACACATACACACACACACACACACACACCACTGCCATCACCATCACCACTATCACATAGAGTTCCAGTCTCCCTAGAATATGCTTCCCAGTCACTGTCTTCCCTCCAGATAAGTCCGAAGTCTCTGTAGCCCTCACTGAGCTCACCTCTGCTCACTCCTTGTATGGGTCAGGATGCCCAAACAGACAAGGTCCTTGGATCTTCTAGTCCGGCATAGAGGTCTGGGGCTTAGTCTCAAGGCACCCTACTGTGCCAAGCATTAACACTTTAGTTGCTGGATCTAGAAGGGTTTTAAGGAGCCCCAAGGAAGGTGATAAGAAAGCTAGGGTAGCAGAGTCATTCAGGGGATGTGATGGGTGGAATAGTGTGTCCCCGCCACCCCGCAACAGCGTTGATATCTACCTACCACTTCAGATAGGTGCCCATATTCAGAAAAAGAGTCTTTGCGGGTGTAATCAGTTAAGGATTTTAAGATGCAATCATCCTGGATTTAGGGTGGGCCTAAGAGAAGGTATAGAGAGAACCACAGATAAGAAGGCCATGGAAAGACAGAGGCAGAGGTTGGAGTGAAGCTGTTGCAAGCCAAGGAACACCAAGGCCACCAGAAGCCGGAAGAGGCAAGGAAGGATTCTCCTCCTAAAGCCTGCAGAGGGAGCAAGGTGTCAACTGCTGATACCTTGATTTTGGACTTCTAGCCTCCAGAGCAGCAAGAGAATACTGATGTGGTTTGGCTGTGTCCCCACCCAACTATCATCTTGAACTGTAGCTCCCCCAATCCACACATGTTTTGGGAGGGACCTGGTGGGAGATAATTGAATCATGGGGTTGGTTTCCCCACTACGGGGCTGGTTTCCCCCTACTGTTCTTGTGGTAGTGAATAAGTCTCATGAGAGCTGACAGTTTTATAAGGGGTTACCCCTTTCACTTCGCTCTCATTCTGTCTTGTCTGCCACCATGTAAGACATCCCTTTGCTCGTCCTTCATCTTCCTCCATGATTCTGAGGCCTCCCCAGCCATGTGGAACTGTGAATCCATTAAATCTCCTTCCTTTAGAAATTACCCTGCCTCGGGTATTTCTTATAGCAGCATGAGATGGATAAATACAAACACATTTCTGTTGTTTTAAATCCCCCAGGCTGCAGTTGTTATAGGAGCTCTGGAAAATGATATAGGGGGGCGTTTCACCAACAAGGATTTCCATATTTAACAATTCACACAGCAGAATTGCAGCACATCAGTGCAGTCCTGGTCTAATCTCCTTGTATTCCAGGTGAGAAACAGAACCTCATGATTAACCATGGGGTGCAGATGGAGTTATATCTAAAAGCCAGGAGTTCTGCTACTCCCTTCCACAGCCTTTTCCTTTCATTCACCCTCTGAAGGAAAGGAACTGAGAAGTGGGGAGCGGACATATGTTCCTGCTCTGTCCCGGCTCTTCTCCCAGCTCCCTTCTCTCCTGCCCACCCCTCTAGGCTGTTTGTTTGTGCTTCTCCAGGCACCTCAAGCCACCCCGCCTTGTCTGGCTGCTAGAACCTTTGTCAAAACCCATATTTAGTTGCTGCAAGTTCCTTGCCTAGTGTCTCTGAAGTTAATGATGGAATCTTTGAAAGTGACATTAGAAGCAAAACATAAGCAGCAGAAGACATGAAACTACCTCAAGCCCATCTGTTCAAGCATGATCTACCTCAGAGCTCCCATTTCCCATGTAAAACAGAAGATATGATTTATAATTTATATCTCACTGGTACAAGCCTGATTGAAGCAAACCACTTTGATGAAATGTTGGTTTCATGCTAGTAGAACACCATTCCAAATCAGAGAATATTTAGAACTCTAACTCTTCTGCTGCTGCTTTGAAGTAGAAAGATTTGTATTTTATGTGCTTTTCCAGGAAAAAAAAAATATGTACACTTCAACAGGCATGTGGTGAAAATATGAAAGCATTTACGTGTGAATCAGCACCAAAATGTAATTAGTACACTAAGCACTGAAAATATTTATAGACTCACATCTCGTGTTCAAGATGTGGTTCCAATAATTCTCAGAAAATTACAAAGTTCGTACTTTGTTTTCTTGTGACTAACTTAATTTACTTGAAATCTACAACACATGAAGAACAAAATCAAAGACTATCAACTTTCCATCCCTCCAACTAATGACCTAATAAAGTTATTTTGAGTATGTGCTCTATGTGTATATATGCATATGACTTCGATTGGTTGAGAAAGAAACAGAGGGAGTAATAGAGAGCAAACAAATTGGATTTTCAAGACAGTTCCTCCCATTTTTATGGGAATGACAAAATATCTATTACAATATGACTAAAACATCAATCAAGTTAAATCTCTTGATTATTTCCTTCGGTGACAAAACTAGCCAATTCATTGACAACATAATCAATAACTGGTGTTCATTGAACCTCTCTGTGGTAGGCACCCATCCAGAGGCTGGAGAAAGTGTGATAAGCAAGAGAGACAGCTCTTACTCTTATGGAATATGCTTCCCAGTGAAGGGTTAGACAATAAACAAATTAATATATAGAACGCCTTTATAAAAAACCATAATAAACAATTTTTTTAAAGCAGAGTGAGGAAATAGAGAGAAAGGGTGGGGGTATTATTTCAACAAAGAAGAGGTAACATTTGAGCAGTTACCTGAATTAGGAGAGGGAGAAAGTCATGCAAAGACCTGGAAGGAGAGCATTCCATGCAGAGGAAAGAGCCAGTGCAAATGGCCTGAGGTTGGAATAGGCTTGTATTGGAAGGCTGTCCTGAGTAGAGAGGAATAAATAAAGTGGAGATGGAGATGTAGTCAGGGAGATGGGCAGAGCCAGATGCTGCGGCATACAACAGGGATGCCTTGCAAACCTCATTCTGCATCAAGTCCAGCCACTTGGGCAGATGGGAAGAAAGAAACAGGAGTGAATTTAGGAAAATCAGATGGGAGCTTCCGCAGAAGCCAATCAAGGAGAGAAGCTGCGGTGGTGGGAGTGAAAATGGAGGGAGAGAAAAGTAGTCGTGGTCTAGAGCTATGCAGGAAGGCTGCGATGAGTCTCAAGCTGCAGGTAAGTATGGTCATGTGACTTGTTTCAGCCAATGAAGTGTGAGACTGGGGGTGTGTTTGTTTCTGCAGTGTAAGCCAGCTGATCCTGCCGAAACAAGAAATAAAATGGACATAACTAGGGGGAATAGAACAGAAATGACAATTATTCTGAGAACTCTCCAGTGCTTGTTTTTAGATTGTTTTCAAGCACAACTCAGCACTCCAAGCAAGTCCCTTGCTCCTTGTCCCCTTCAAATTCAGTCTGATGCAATTCAGTGTGACACAAAGGAAAGTGAATCTATCTTCAGCAAATGTGGCCTTTAATGGTAGCAAAGTGCTTTGAAGATAAAAAGTTCTCTGCAAGTGCTAAGCATTATTATTCTGCATCAGATGTCAGTATGCACTTTAAAACAAGATTCAATTAAACTGCCTTGCCATTGTTTTATGATACAAGCATCAGACATTTTCAAAAGGGTCAAGTCATAACAGGAATATTTAACTCCTAGGAGGAGTAGGAAGTAATTGGAGTGAGCTGGAGGATGATCCAGAAATGGAATGACAAGGTGTTCACTTAGCAGTAGGATTCAATGGAGCTAGCAGGCTCATTTAAAGAACTCAAGAGTACAGACCCTTTGTGGGGGACTGGTTGAAGTCCCAGTTGAAGTCTGTGTGTGAACAGGTGAGGCTTGAGACAACCCATTTCAGAAACAAAGAAGTATGGATAAAAGCAGGTGGCTTCCCACTCCAACACACACACATATGCACACACACACAGACACACACACACACACACACACTTGGTTCCTGGTGTTTCCCGTATGCTAGTATATCAGATAAAAGAATCTGGAGCAGCTGGGCTGGAAGATAGCAAGCTGTCAACTCAGGCCCATCACCCCGATTTTATATTTGTTATTGAACTTTTATAGTCATTCAATGCTGGGCCTCTTTACTACAAAAGAGGAAGAGGATGAGGAGGAAAAGGACAATATGGAGAAGGGAGAGAAGGCACACTGGGTACTATCTGGTGGCTGGGTTGGACACAATGGGCAAATGTCCTGGGGTGTCATGTAAGTAGCCCAGTCCTAGGCTTTCACCATTAGAGGGTGTCGGGGGGAACTTGCAATTTCAGTCATGCTATTACATAGATGCACAAAAGAAACATAGATGTTTTATTTTCTGTAAGTGAGCTTATCATCTACACAAGCCTCTTGCCAGTGGGAATGTGTGTTTGGTGGTGGGTTCAGAAGTGGATATTTTAAGCTTGTGCATTAAAGATGATTCTGTTTCTTCAGTTGGAAGCATCTCCTCCCAGTTAAAATTGTACCTTTCAGTCCTTGTGTTTATGACAGTGAGAGAGGAGACCTCTGGCCTACACTGTGCCCTCTAAGTGCTCCCTGGAACCTTCTGGAGAGTGGTGGCTCCACTTTGTTCCCAGGGTTGACCCCACTTGGACGTTCCAGGTGATGCTGTTACTCACATGGAGACTGTGGCCTTGGCATGGGTTCCCTGCAGGGACAGTCAGAACACCTGTGGCACGTTGCCTGCTTCCCTTACATATTTGTGCCCTTCATTTTCTTCTCTGCTGCTGCCAGGCCAGGAAGTGGCTTCCCATCTCCTCATCTGGCTTGAGCTTCTCCTGCCCCATATCGTATTCCTTCTCAAGGTGGCATTCACCCTTCACTGGAGCAATAATGGTGGAATGACTGTAGGGTATATGATTTATGGAGGCACTGAATGAAAACCACAAGCATTTAATACTTTAAAATATTTTCTCCATTACAAGAGGTACATTCCTTTTGTCTAAAGTGTATTTTGTCTCATAAAATGCAGATATGCTTAGGAGATGTAAAGCAGAAGCTGTTCTTTCTAAAACACCATTGGATGATTTAAGTTGGTTGGTGGCTGCATCAACCCTAAGACTGCACAACCCAGACCCATTTATTCATTCCCTAACCATTGTAAGCAACCATTCGTTGGACACATCTATATGCTAGCATGATCCTAAGCACAAGAGATTATAAACTACTGAGAGGCAGAGAAAAATAATAAGAATAAGTAATTAATGATTGCCATGAAAAGTGCCACAGTGGGAAACTGCAGGATGCTTTGAGAATGAATGACACAAATAAGGGAATCAAGGAAGCTATCTGAGCAGGTGACAACTGGCAGGCAAGGACAAAAGGAAGTTAACTGAGAGAAGAGCTATGGATGTGCAGTGTGGTGGAGAGGGGAGGTTTCCCAGTCAAGCAGGCAGCATGTGCACTGGCCTTGAAGTAGAAAGGAGCTCTGAGGGTCCTTTTCAATGGGACCTCTAAAAGGGAATGGAGGGAGGATCCTGGAGAAGAGAGGAAGAGAAGGGCATGGGGAAAGGAGGAGTTGAACCAGGGCAGCCAAAAGTCACCTCGAGAAACTGATGAGTAAATCATGAGCTACTTTTGCAAAGCTCATTGAAGAAACCCCACAGACATTTAAGCTTCGTGCTCACCATTTCCAAATAGAATTTTTATCTCATGTTACTTTGACCAATTCCTTTTGTTTTTCAGTTTCTCTCCTGACTTTTTGGAGGAGGACTGGCTTGAAGGGTCTGTCACCGCTGCAGAGATCTAGCACCTGCTGTGTGAGCCAGTTGCAGGGCGAGGAGCATCACAGGGAACTAGCCGTGGTCCTTACCTTCCAGGGGCCCTGTTCTGGCAGATCACAGCAATGGCAACTGTCAAGGTTCCAACCCTCCTGCCAACATCCTGGCCGCCCTTCTTCTGGGGACACAAATCCCAAACTTCAGAGGCTTTTTTGAGCTGCTTCTTCCTTAATCCCCATGGCTAGTCTTCTACCAAGTTCTCCCAATCCTACCTGCAAAATATTTCTAGGGTCTACCTACCTCGGTTCAGCCTCTCTGTCTCCACTCTTATCAAAGTAACTATAATTCCTCAACTTGATAATTGTAATACCTTCTTCACTGGTGACCTCAAATTCACTCCAATTCCCTCTTCATCAGGGCAGCCAGTGAATTCTTCCAACTGCAAATGTGATTATGCCATTATCTACTCCTGAGATTTCCTTGCTCTCAGGAGAAGGGAAAGAGGGTCTTGGCCCAGCCCACAAGCCACTCATTGTGAGACCCAGCCATTCATTGCCCACCACTCCAGCCCTCATGCTCCCACCCGGCTCCCCCTCGCTTCCACCTTCTCACCACCCTGGCCTTTGCAGAGCTTCTCAAAGGGGCTGTGCTCCCACCTACCTAACACCTAGACCTGCACTCCACTGTCCCTTCCTCAAGGCAACTTCCTGGATAGCCAGACCACATCAGTTCTCCCTATCACCCTTCCAAGCAGTGGTCTTGTTTTTATGTGTTTATTTGATTAATTGCTATCTAACCCTACTTGATTTTGAGCTCTTTGAGAGCAGAGGCGATTCTCATCTCTGTGCGTGTCTATGGCACAGGGATGAGAATGCTGTCTGGCACAGAGTGGCTGCTGTGATGAATATAAGTTGAATAAAAGAACAAATAGCTGCAATAGAAATGTGTGAAGACTCTGACCACCTTCCCAGCATTCTTGTACAGGAAGACTTTGCAATGACCTAAAAGCCCTGACATAGAATGCACTCCTTCCCCAAGTCCCCATTTCTCTGGCGTCTGCTCGCCCTTCTCCCTCTAGCACACTCAGCTCTGGCTTCACTGGTGCTCTTGCTGTTCTGCAGCAGGCCAAACATGTTCCAGCCTCAGGGCCCTTGCATTTGCTGCTTCTGGTGCCAGGAATTCTCTTCCTCCAAATATCCATATGACTGACTCTCTCCCCGCCTTCAGGTCTCTGTTCATATCACTCTTCCCAGTGAGGTCTTCTCTGATCTCCCTGTGTAAATTTATCATCCTCCTGCAGCATTTACAAACCCCCTACACAATTTATTTTTCCTGATAGTCTTTATCACCTTTAGCATATTGGGCATTCCCTTATTTATATGTGTATCGTCTATCTCCCGCCACTGGGATATGAACTCCTTAAATGCAAGAATTCTGCCTGTTTTATGCTCTGCTACATCGTCAATCCTTATCAGTTCCTGGCATAGTAAACCCTCAATATATGTCTGTGAACAGGTGAATTAATGAATGAATCTTGAGCCTAGAAATGACTTGGGCCTTGTGCTCAAAGATCCCTTCCCTCTTAAACCTCATGGCAAAAAAAAAAAAAAAAAAGCAAAACTTCTATCCCAACCAAGTTCTCATTTATGCAGCCCCCAAATTCCCAGCTACAAATTTATGGCAACAGCAATAACCACTATTAAATGTTAGCGATACGCCAAGTATTCTTCTAAGTGTCGTATACATGTGTAATCCTTACAGTATCACCATGAGAAAGGTAGTTACAACTTCCATTTAACAGATAAAGAAAGTGATCATCAAGGAGGTTAAGTGACTTTCCCAATGTCACACAGCTAGTAAGTGGCTAAGCTGGCCTTTGAACCCACCCAGTTTGTCTCTAGAGCAGGAATGGGCAAACTATGGCTCACAGGCCAACTCCAGCTCACTACATGTTTTCATACAGCCTGCAAGCTAAGAATGGTTTGTTCATTTTTTAATGGCTGGAAAACAATAGGCAACTTGATAACTGTAACAACTTTTAGGCTTTGTGGGACCATATATAGCCCACAAAGCCTAAAAGCCTTACTATAATAAATATATCATGAAGAAATTCCTGGGCACTTCCTATATGTACACAAAAGGTACAGAAAAAGAGATGTATATTTAAATGCCATTTATTGGGCTCCTCTCATACTCTCAGGAGCAGCTACCCAACTTCATGGATGTTACTCATTAAGTCATCTTACAACCTCCACCCTAGAGGCCCAGAGATAAAGTGATGTGGCCAAGGCTATATTTTAAGAGACAGAACTGGGAGTAGACTCACAGACTCACAGACTCACAGGGTTGAAAAGGCTTCTGAGGCTTGTTTATCCCAATCTCCTCATTTTACGGATTTGCAAAGGAAAGTGGCTGAAAGTCAGGGGCATCTGGGGTTAATGCCACAGCACCTCTCCAATCTCTTGACTAGGGCTTTACTCTCGACTAGGTTGGCTCTTTCCTCCCTGTCATTTCCCAAATCCTTCGGTGTCTCTACCAGCCCCAGCATCCAGCCTGCTTCCTCTCCCCGTCCTGACCTTCCTCCACACCCACCACTGCTGGGCCTGCGAGGACGACTCGAACTACAAATTAAGTGAAGGGGAAAACTGAAATGATATGATCTGAGCAAGGGAAGCACAAAGGCCCCGATTTCCTCTCTACATTATACAGGAAGATCTGGGCCGCGTGGGGAGCCAGCGCAGTGCCTTTTGATGTTTGCCTTCCTGCAAATAGCAAGCAGAAGGACATGAGAAGGCTTCACCTCCGCCTTGCAAACTCACAACAGCAGGTTTCCAATCATGATTGAAACAAATCCAGAGATAAAAAACGAAGAAAAGAAACAAAGAAGGAAGAGACAGAGACGATTGTTGTTTACAGAGCTTTCAGGACAAGGAGACCCTTTAAAATTAACTACAGGACGTGTTAAAGAGCTTACAAACACCCCCATCACAGCCCTGGGCTGAGCTTCTAAAGGGTGTAGCAACGGGGGACTCTGAGTCTGAGTCAGGGCCCTTCTGTGGCTAAAGCTAGACCTATTCAGGAAGGGTACGACAAGGCTTTTTATAGATGCAGTCCACCTCTCCACATCTGAGCTGGGATTTCTGAAAGCCAGGGCCAGCATGGTGCCACCATGGAGTGGAGATTCCAGCTCAATCATCGATTTCACCAGCAGGAACAAGAAATCTAGAAATATCCCCTGCCCAGGACAGGTATTTGTGGTTCAATGTGTGGCATGTGCCAATGCTGTGTTAGCACAGTAATGAGCAAGAAGTTATGGTGGCATTTAGGCCCTAAGAGAGGAATTCATTAATTAGTCTCTCCACCTCTCTCTCTCAGTTCTCCCAATTTTTTTTTAGACAGGGTCTCACTCTGTTGCCCAAGCTGGAGTGTAGTGGTGTGATCACGACTCACTGCAGCCTCGATTTCTCGGGCTCAAGCTGTCTGCCCACTTCAGCCTCCTGAATAGCTGGGACTGCAGGTGCTTGCCACCAGGCCCAACTAAATTTTGTTCTTGTTTTTGTTTAGAGATGGGGTTTCACCATGTTGCCCAGGCTGGTCTGAAACTCCTGAACTCAAGTGATCCACCTGCCTCAGCCTCCTAATGTGTTGGGATTACAGGTGTGAGCCACCATGTCTGGCCCCCACCTAAACTTTTAATTGCAGTGAACTAGGAGGCTAATATGTAGCATCCTGAGACTTTTGTCTAAATCACCTTGGGCTGATTCTGTTACAGCGGTAGTTCTGGAACATTCAAAGGTGTCAACTAAAGATCAAAGCTCTTGTGTCTTTGCAAGGTCTTTCTATCTTTACTAACTACATTAGCCACCAAAAATTATTTAAGAACCATCAAAGAAATATACACAGACAAGAAATAGGAAAAAAAAAACAGCTTTTTCCTTCAAGAGAGGGAAATTCAGTAAGAAGCATTGGGTCCTTCTTTTAGTTGAATCCTATATGACATGATTTTTTTTTAATCTTACCACCTCAATAACTCTATCAGCAGTATTTCACAGATGGAGGAACTAAGACTCGGAGAAGTGAATGGACTTGTCCAAGGATGATGTGTTAGGAAGTGATAGCGCCAAACATCCAGCCCAGGGCTGTCTGATTTTAAAGTCTGAGCCCTTCCAAATAATACCCACTGGTGTCCACCTTAAAAGAGCCACCTGCCCCCTCACCAGCAGTGTGTGCATTTGGGTAAGCAGGGGCCTGTTGAGCCTGGCTGTTCCTTGAAAATATCAGAGTAAGCTGGACTTAGTGCCTGCCTGGACTTATACTCATCTGTGTTGTCTTCTCTGCCGGTAGTGACAAAAAGTCAGAACATGAAGGGCTCTGCTGTAGACACAGAAAAATACGAGCATGCTCTGTATTCAGATTTATTTCCCCAGTCTGACCTTTACTCTCAACTCTCCAGACCTGTATTTCCACGTGTCCACTCAACAGCTTGGCTTGAATGGCCACTAGACATCTCCAACCCAATATGGCCAATCTACAGTCTTGATGCTTCCCCTCCAGACCTCCACCCTGCCTTTCCCCAGGTCTTCCTTATTCCAGTAAATGGCACTGCCCCTCTTCTATTAATCTAGACAAAAGGTCTAACAGTAGCTCTTTGAGATTCAGTTCCCTCAGAAACAGACCCTGGGCAAGGCTTTGAGTGTGAGTCGTCCGTCTGAGAGGTGCTCTCAGGAAGTGGTGAGAAGTGAGAAGGTGAGATGGAAAAGAAGTGCAACCCATAAAGGGTGTGTTGTCAAGCAAGTTATCAATATGAACTACCGGAGCTTCACCCTGCTGGGAACTCTAGGAGCCAGTGCAGACCTCAAGCCTGTGGGGTGCCAGAACCGGGCTGCCTATACACCAGTTCCCATCAGTCATTAGCTGAGGCTGCCCCTGGGAGATCCTCTGGCCTGCTTTGGGTACATGGGCAGAGTGGGCTCCAGCAATTAAAAGAAACCCTCGGGCAACAAAATGCACAGGCTGGCCCTTGGAAGTGGGGCCTCTAACATGGTGGAGAGAGGACCTATAGATGTGGCATGCCAGTAGCTTCTATAGAATCCCTGATCGCCACCACCCCCTTTCATACCACACAGCCACTCCACTGGAAAAACCTGTGGGCTCTGCTTGCAAAATAGATTCCAAATCTGACCACTTTTCACCACTAATTGCAGAAGACTGGTCTCCCCATCTTCCTTCCTGTTCCCCTATCACCCTTCTGTATTCAGAAGTCAGATGGATCCTTTTATCCATGACTGTGTTATTGTCTGTTCAAAAGCCACCATTGCTTCCCTCTTGGTTGGCACAAACCCACGGTCCTGAGCTTGGCCTGCAGGTCCTGCCGACTCAGCTCTTGTTTCACTCTCTGATGTCACCTCCTCCACGCTTTTCCTTGTTGACCTTGCTCCACTGGCACTGACTAATCCTCAAAAGTGCCAAGCACACTCCCACCCTGGGGCCTGTGCAGGAGCTGCTCCGCAGCCTGGCCTAAGCCTCCCCCAACATCTCCATGGCCACTTCCTCGCTGCAGTTTTCTCACTTCCCTCAAGGGGAAGACCACCGGCCACTCCCACTCTCTTGCTGATGTCATTATTTTTCAGAGTTCTAGCTTCCTAAGAAAACCCCCAGTCACCACCCTTCCTTCTCTACCCTGGGTCTTTAAAGACACCAAAATAGGACAAGGAATAAGGACAGGACTGAGCTGCTTACATCCAGTTTATTCCTCCTAGAACCCATATCAATCAGCCAAGTCACCCCATCTCCCTTGTGGTAGAGTAAGGTAAGGGGACTAGAGACATGGAGCTCCTTGGGATGCCCCCGTGCATGGAGGGAGGAAATCCACAATGGTGTGGTGAAATCCACAATGCTTCTTACACCTGTTGTTATATTATGATAAATCTATTGCATGGATGCCTCCCTCACGTACCTTTTACTGATTCTGTGTGCCTACCCCCAGCCTCTACCACATTTTGCTTCTTCTCCTTCTTCTTTTTCTTTTTTTTTTTTTTTTTTAAAAGGAGTTTCGCTCTTGTTGCCCAGGCTGGAGTGCAATGACACAGTCTCGGCTCACTGCAACCTCCGCCACCCAGGTTCAAGTGATTCTTCTGCCTCAACCTCCCAAGTAGCTGGGATTACAGACTTGCACCACCACACCTGGCTGATTTTTGTATTTTTAGTAAAGATGTAGTTTCACTATGTTGACCAGGCTGGTCTTGAACTCCTGACCTCAGGTGATCCACCTGCCTCTGCCTCTCAAAGTGCTGCCATTACAGGCGTGAGCCACCACACCTGGCCCTACGTGTTTTCCTTCTAAAAGATTCACACCTGCATCTTCCTTGAACCTCTGTAGCTGCCTTGTCCCCATGGCATGCAGAGAGGAAGAAAAATACCCACAATTTACTACCTGACACCCATCCAGCCTGTAGCCAATGGATGTGGGAGTGTAAAAGCCCGGCACCCCTGCTTCAAAGATAGACAGACCCTGAGATCTAATTTATACCCCAGAGCTTCCCACAGGACCAAGCAGAGGTTGGAACCTCACGTGAAGCGGTACCTTTGCTGGCTTCTTCCCCCACTCTTGCCCTGCTTCCCTATGCCCTTACAGATGTCTCCTGGGAGCTCTTTCTTAATAAATTACCTGCACTGCAACCCTTGTCTCGGCATCTTCTTCTGGGAACATAAGACCTAAGGCACTCACTGTTTGTTGTTTGTTTATTTCATTTCCCCTACTAGAATATAAGCTCCCAAGGGCAGGAGTTTTTCTGTTTTGTTCAGTTTTGTATTCTCAGCAACAAGAACAGTGCCTTGTATACAGAAGAGGCTCAATAAATACGTATTGAGTGGATGCGTGAATTTGTGAATGTATGTCAATTGACAGAAATATACCGGGACCACTCCTAAAGAAGGCTATCCCTGTTCTGTTTTATGGTCTGCTATGTCCCTCATGCCTAGAATTATTTGCAGCACAAAGTAGATGCTCAATGAATATTTATTGACCAGCTCCC